AGTGAATAAATATTTTTAAATGTAAGAAAATAATTATAACAAGAGTACCTTGCATTTATCAACTTGCAATTTATAAAACATTTTCACCTACCTGATCTCATATATAATAATAATAATTATTATTATTATAGGAAAGTTGCCATTCACTGAGTGCTATCTTTTCATGAAACACTTTATATACACTATTTACTCATCCTCACAACTGTGTAAGGTTATTATTATTTCTACCTCACAAACAAGAAAACTAAAGTTCAATGAGGCTAACACACTTGCTTCCAATTGCGCAAATAGAAGGTTAGAGTGAGTACATGAGAAAAGCTGTGTGTAGAAGGCATTTTCTTTTTGGTATTTTATTCTTACCAACATATGACAACATTCAATGTGTTTTTAATCTCAAGGTTCCTGATTGTCATGGAAAAAACTCTTGGGCTGGAGGCACAAAAAGTGGGATCAAATATCAACACTGCCACCCTGACATGGGACTTCTGGCAAGTGACAAAATATTTCAACTTCAATCTCCTCATTTGTGAAATGAAGGACATTATATTCAGTCCACATGTTGTCATGAGAATTATGTCAAATACTAGAAGGATTAAATGCTAGTAAAGGAAGCCAAGAAAGTCATGGCAGGCTGAGGTTCTTGATCTTTCAATGAGAAGAAAAGAAAAGTAGACCTGCAATTTATCACTGATCAGAATGGCTTGGTTCACACAGTAAGCTTAGCTTCAAGTTACATTAAAACAAAATAAATAAAATACACTTAATCACTTTTTTAAAATAAAAAGTATATACTTTTAAAAGTGAAAATTTAAACTTGGGCCAGGCATGGTGGCTCATGCCTATAATGCCCCTACTTGAGAGGCCGAGACAAGAGGATCCCTGGAGCCCAGGAGTTCAAGACCAGCCTGAGCAACATAGCAAGACTCTATCTCTACAAAAAGAAAACAAAAGGTAACTAGACATAATGGCGTGTACCTGTAGTCCCAGCTGCTCGGGAGGCTGAGGCAGGAGGATCGCTAGAGCCCAGGACCTGGGTGCTGCAGTGGTCACGCCACTGCACTCCAGTCTGGGTGACAGAGCAAGACCCTGTCTTTTAAAAATTTGTTTTTAATTCTTAAATAAAAAAATAAGTGCACAAGTATGTTTGGTTGCTTTCTCACTAAGCTTTAAAGTTTCTTTCTTTGTACACTCATCTTCATATTTCAGTTAGAGAAAAGCAATTTTGGGGTGATGTTTCTCAGTGTTCGTGTGTACCAGTTCTTCCTTTGCAGCTACAGTTTTTCTCACACAGCAGTTAGTGATCTCAGTGCCCTGATTTGCTGCATTTCTCTCAGCCTCTGGTCCAAGCAGTCACTTGAGCCTGAATTCAACTAGTGGCCAGTATCAGGCCATAAAAAAGGGTGAGATAAGAGGGTCCTGTAGTAGAAGCTGGGCTGAGTTGGCAGGAAGGGAATGGGCAGAGCAGGGGCATGCATCCTGACACAGGCAGCAGTCAGTGGCGGTGATATAAGACCAACCACAGATCAAAGGCAAGGTCACAGTCTAGATTGGAAGACCGGGGCTAAGGTCCAGGGAGCTGAGTTGCTCCGGATGGCACAGGACAGAATGGAAAGCAGACATACAGGTATAGGTTGGACATACAAGCTAACCTAAATCTAGCTTCCAGAAAAGACAGGTTCACACAAGTCTATTCCAGGACGTAACTAAGGTATGCTCCATTGGTTTTAAGACTGTGCTCACAAAACTTGTTTTCTTTCTTTATATCAAACACAAAAGCTGTCCTGGAGAGCTACTTATAAGGACAATGAGACTGCTCCTGCCTCCCCACCACCATACACTCCCTTCAATCAGAAGCTGGTTCGCCACCTTGAAAGATCTCTCTTCTCTGTTGTCTCAATGACTTCCATTGGTGACTCCACCTTGAATCTGCTCTCAATCATGTAAAAGCCATCCTTGTTCTATAAGCTATTTGCTTTCCTTTACTTTGTATATATGTGAGGAAACAGTTTGTTTTTTTTTTTTTTTTTTTTTTGAGACGGAGTCTCGCTCTGTCGCCCAGCCTGTAGTGCAATGGCGGGATCTCAGCTCACTGCAAGCTCCGCCTCCCGGGTTCCCGCCATTCTCCTGCCTCAGCCTCCCGAGTAGCTGGGACTACAGGCGCCCGCCACCTCGCCCGGCTAGTTTTTTGTATTTTTTAGTAGAGACGGGGTTTCACCGTGTTAGCCAGGATGGTCTTGATCTCCTGACTTCGTGATCCGCCCGTCTCGGCCTCCCAAAGAAACAGATATTTTTTTAAAGAGCTCTAAAAACAGATCATCCCAACAAGATTTTGTCTTAGCACTTTTTCTGGAAGCACGAATGGACTTCCCTGCTAAAACGTGGTACTCTAAGGTGTATCTAAGAAATGAATTTCCTTCCATTCAACTTTCCCTTTAAAGAAAGCTGTCACCTTTGCCTCTCTTTATATACGTTTTTCCTCATGTTAAAAAAAAAGAAAGAAAGAAAGAAAAATGGGCCAGGCACAGTAGCTCACGCCTATAATCCCAGCACTTTGGGAGGCCGAGGTGGGCAGATCACTTGAGGTCAGGAGTTTGATACTAGCCTGGCCAACATGGTGAAACCCCGTCCCTACTAAAAATACACACACAAAAAAAAATTAGCTGGGTGTGGCACAGGCCTGTAATCCCAGATACTCGGGAAGCTGAGCTGGGAGGATCTCTTGAACCCAGGAGGCAGAGGTTGCAGTGAGCTGAGATCCATGTCACTGCACTCCAGCCTAGGTGACAGAGTGAGACTCTGTCTCAAAAAATGAAAAGAAAAAAAAAAAGTATGTATTACCTTTCCCTCCTTGTCAGGATAGTTATTAGAATCTAAGTAGTGAGAAGTCATTGAGAAGAACAAAAATCTATGTATTTATTTACAAGGTATTGATATTACTAGACCCCTTTTCCTGTATCCAGTAGTAGTCCTCTCCATATACAAGGAAATGTACCATTCATTTCAGCATTGTTTATAACAATGAGAAATAACCTAAATGTCCACTGACTGAGGAATGGCTAAACAATGGCAATCCATAAAACAGAACATTGCAAAGCCAAAAAAAAAAAAAAAAAAAATCTTTGTATAATGGCCAAATGCCAAGATAATGGGTTTCGGAGAAAAAATAAAACAAAACATGTAAAACAAAAAGAAAAAAAAAATTACTCTTTGTATAGTAATAGGGCCAAATTCTAATGTATAAGGGGGAAAAGTAAGGGACAAAAAAAGTGTATACAGTATGTATTATTTGTATTTTTTTCAAAAGAGCAAAATGATACATGCAGTTATACCCATGTATATGCATCCAATATCTCTTTAAATGTATGAAATAAATTGATAACTTTGGTTTTCTCTGGAACGGAAAATAGGAGAAGATTTTTTGAATTTTGTACCCTTTTATATCTTTGAATTTGAAACCACATGAACATAGTACCCGTCCAACAAAATTAAATTAAGATCATAAATAAAAATATCCCTGGGTGGTTTTTCACAATGTGTGAGAAACTCAAGATGCAAATGCTACCCAAGTGAGCTGAGTTGCAAGTCTATAGCCTCATGTTAGTTATTCGTGTGGCACAAGATTAATGGCTCATGTTCTTCTTGCTTTCACTTTTCTCCCATTTAAGCCAGATATTTCTGCTCAAATTTTTGACCACTGGAGAGCACACAGTGACTTTTGTTTCTGGCTCAAAACAGCCTGTACTCTCCCCTCTGGGTCTTGGGTGCCTCAGCAGTATTCTTCCCAGGCCTAAACTCTCAGCCTGTGGTCTAAGCAGTCACTTGAGCCTGAACTCAACTAGTGGTCAGCATCAGACCATAGAACTGGATGGTGTAAGAGGTCCTGGATTAGAAGCTAGGCTGAGTTTGTGACCAGTCTGTCCAACTTGGCAAAACCCCATCTCTACTAAAAATACAAAAATTAGCCAAGCATGGTAGCACATGCCTGTAGTCCCAGCTACTTGGAGGCTGAAGCACGAGAATCATTTGAATCCGGGAGGCAGAGGCTGCAGTGAGCTGAGATCACACCACTGCACTCCAGCCTGGGCAACAGAGTGAGACTATGTCTCAAAAAAAAAAAATTGAGCTGGGGGCTGAGCTGGCAGGAAGGCGATGGGCAGAGCAGGGGCATGCATCCTGACACAGGCAGCAGTCAGTGGCTATGATATAAGACCAACCACAGGTCAAAGGCAAGGTCACAGTCCAAATTGGAAAACTGGGGCTAAGGTCCAGAGAGCTGAGTTGCTCCAGATGGCACAGGACAGAATGGAAAGCAGGCATACAGGTATTGGTTGGACATTCAAGCTAACCTAAATCTAGCTTCCAGAAAAGACAGGTTCACACATGTCTATTCAGGATGTAACTAAGCTATGCCCCCTCAAATGGTTTTAAGCACTTTTCCTGCTGAGGATGTAGAGAGAGGGAGCCAGGATTCTGCAAGCGCCACTTGTAACATGTAGCGAGGCCAAATGTGATTATCTCCCCTCCCACACTCAGTGCTGTCTAGCCCATATTTTACACCCTAAGAAGCCATGGGTCATTGAGTTCAAAACACACTTTCTCCATCCACCCCATGAGGTTAGGTTGAATGATTTGGGTGCAGACCTGGTGTTTAACGAGACAGGTTGGTGACATTAATGGTAATATGTAACTGTGAGTTACAAAATCAACCCACAGCTAATTTAAACAACCAGAAGTTGTGGTGCCTGAGACAGTGTCCAGCTGCCATGGTACCATTTGTTTTGTTCCTTGTTCATATTATGACGAGGGGATTAAGTTGTGTTCAAATTAGCTTCATCTAGACACTGCAGTTCAAGTCTTTCGTCAGTAGCTGCATTTTAATCCTACTGGGTTTAATAACAATACTAAAAATCTTTATGGTATGTCATTTAATCATCGACCTTTGCATGACTTCAACAGCAGCCTTACAAGTAACAAAGAATAAATCCTGTGCTTGCCTCTAGGTTTTCTGCAGAGGTAGTGAAAAGAACTGGATTTTCAAGTTCACTTTGGAAGAGGCAAGTAGGAAGGAGACTGAAAGCTGCTCGTAAATCAGTAAATCAGTTGCTTTAGGCAGGACACCTGCCCTGTCAGTCTCAGCTACATCCAAATGGAAAAATGGGTGATCTAGGATTACCCTCAGGCAATGCCAATAGCCAAGGCACTAAAAGGTCACATCTATTATTGCTGGCATTTCTCTCCCCACTGGGCTGTTTTTTGAGTGGATGTCATACTCATCTCATACAGAAGGCATGTCCATCATGCTAGGGCAGTGCTGTCAATATTGGATCTAATAAAATAAATCCTATTTTTCTTTTCCACAAACTTCGTTATACCTTATACCTAGCTGCTGCTAAAAGATGATTCCTTTTTTCCTTACCACTCCAACATTACATTTTAGGGACATGAATCCTTAAGCAAAGTTTCATTTGCTGCCTCTGATTTTAAAGTCAAAATGAGTCTTTTAAAAACATTAACCAAAATAAATGGCACAGTGAGTGCCATACTCAGAAGAGGCTACATAAAGCCACGACATAAGCAGTCAATGCTCCCTTGGAAGAAGCCACTGGCCTTTACTAATAATATCATGTTCGCCAGCAAACAATTTGGCACCGTTTGCGTAGCATCAGAAGTTGGGGGAGGACTAGAAACACAATCTTAACACACAAAAACAAATGTGGATAAAAAAGTGTAGCGACAGCTGTTGCCAGCTGCAAGCAACCACGCAGTAAAATCCTGTCCAGCTCTGCAGAGGACTGTATGAGGACTCTTGGAGCCTGAGATAGGAGCGACAAAAGATTGCATTGTAAGAACATCGAACGTGAACCCTGGCTAGCAAGCACCCCTAGGAATTACCAACAGGAGGAATTGAGAGCATTGCCAAGAATTCATCTTCCCCAGATCGAATCACTGCGTAAAATCAGCCCTATTTATTCTAAGAAGTCCACATGAATAAGCTTCATTCTAACTGAGCGGTTCTTAGTCTATGAGGCCCACAAGAACTCCTTTGGACTCCGCGGATCTCCATTTTAAAAGTGTTATTGACACAAACCTGGGGAGGTGTTTTTCCTGGAGTTCTTTCTCACCAGACCGGTTCTGGCTGCCTCCTGGGTGATGATGGAAAACTGAGGCACTTGCCAACATGTCATCCCCTCATTTTGCAACCCTCAGGCAGTTGCACAAAGGCTATGTGGAACTTTACCAACTAGTTAAAGGCAGAGTCTGGGACAGTCTTAAAGGAATTAGGACGACTGCAATGTCCAGGTGGTGCATATTAAGGAACTCCATCACAGGGCCAGATAAACTAGGTGCAAGGGGATGCAATTAAGAGCCTTTCATTCAACACCTTTTCACTCATAACCCTGGGATTTTGAAACGCAGAGCTTTTCAAGTCACACTTGAAAACTGTTGCCTAAGCAGCCTCTCCAGAGTTTTCTGATTCCAGAAGCTAAAAGAGCCCTAAGAAACCACAGGAGAAGCTGCCTTGCACTCTTTCTGTGGGAGTCACTGAGGACAGAGTTACATGGTATCAAAGATCTTTAAGAGGTCTGAAAATTCTTCACTTACTTAGAGCTAAACCCATCTTAGAAATCTGCTTATTTAATATGTTTAGGTAACTGTCATTTGCCTGGAGCAACTTGAAAAAAAAAAATGTTTAGAAAGTAAAACAGGAAATTCAGAATAAAACATGACCTTAACCAGCTAAATTAATTGCCCAAGTAATCTTTTGCATAAAGGAAACAGGATCAGGAAGGACTTTCATTCAAACCTTGCTATTTTGCCTTTAGCTAAGAGGACAGGATTCTTTTCTGAAATTTTGCTGTGAAGATCCTAATAAATAATTTTGCTTTTTTCTCCTTCCTATTCTAGAAATAGAAGGGAGGAGGATCTATTTTGTTCCATCCTGTGGGCTGATCCTTTACACCTAGGACTGGGAGAAATAAAGTAGATTTTTGTGGAAATGTAGAATATGCATTCACCAGCTACACTGGAATCAGCAAGCATAGATCACGAGTAGCTTGGTCTCTCCACACAAATGTGAGAATAGTAGGCCCTGAAAGAGCCTCAGTAGGGATGCCTGTGATAGCTTTGTGGGCTGGGCAGGCTGGCTGTGGAGATGCAAAACCCACAGCATGCAGCATGCATTCTCTCCAAAGATAATGATGGTCTATACCCCATCATCAGTGCCCAGGGACAAAATCAAGCCAAAATTATAGGGTCTGTTTTAGGGAAACTACAATGATGTTGTGAGGTAATAGTTTCCCATATGACTAAACTCTTTTGTGATAATAAAGTAAAAAGTAATGAAAAAGTTATTGTTAGTTTGATTTTATAATTTACCATAGTGGGGAGAATTCTTGACCCAGAGTTTAAAGACTTGACATTCCACTTTTAACACTTCCATCTGACTTTGGACAAGTGGCTTAACTTTCTCATCTGTAAAAGCCTCTTTCTTCCTTTTGAAATGGAAATACTGATATTTGTTTTTCTCAGCCTCCGAACTTCTTAAAAGTTATACATTAAGATCATGTGAGTAAAGAAATTACCGGAGTAAAATGGTCTCATTCTATTGGGTTACTCTAAAAAGAAACTATTTCTATTTCTTTCTTTAAAAGCACCTGTTGTGTCCTTAGTGTAGAGGCTAAAAGTAAAAAGACTTTTTAAAAATCAGAAAGCACTTGTAATCATTCCATTTATTCCTTCCCCATTTATTAGAAAAACTCCAGGATGAGGGGGTCGGATTATGTCCCTTGGTTTCAAGGCTGATCAGCTAATGTACATCATCCAATTCTTGGAAGCTCAGACATAGCCTTGTGTCTTCCTTAACACCTGGCTGCATTTCAGTTTCAACCATAGCCCACAGTTTTCTATTAGTAGTAGTACACTCAGTAAAAAGTAAAAGCCATCTTTTACTGTGCATCTGCTATGTGCATTAATCGCTAATCCTCATTTAGAAAATATTTTTAGGTATTTTATACTTATTAACCCAGGTTTATCGTAAAGAAATAGCATTACTCAAAGAAATTGGGTTAGACAGATAAAAAAAATTTACAGTTAATACTAATGTAAAAATAACTGTGAAGCAAAAGACAGTCTAGAGACTAAAGGAGCATTGTAGATATTACATCATCCTCATTGTATGTCTTTGTTTACTCTTTTAAGATCAGTAAAGAAGACCTCTGTAATGTACGTTTTCTGTGAACTCTGTCCTTGAGTAATGAGTCGTTCTGCAAATCATTAGTTCAACTAGTGCTCTTGCCACTTTTCTTTGATAGATCTACTAAGACAAAGATCGGATAAAAGTAAATTAAAAAGACAATCTCCTGCATGCAACAATTGATATTTCCAGTACTAGAGCGCATTTAGTTATTGTACCTGTCTTCACTTAATCATGGCTCTGACTTGAGCATTTGATTTAAAAACTACTGCAAAGCAAGTCACCACCCTGTATTTAGCATACTGACTCAATAGGTAAAAGGGCATCACAAAAAATGAATGAAAAAAAATTTCTTCACTGGAGTTAGGTACTAGTAAAAGCATTAAAAATTCAAGAAATTTTATGGGGAGAAATCTCATTTAGAAAAACAGTGAGTAGTTTTTGAAGTGGCTGTTGAAATGAATATTAATTCAGTATTCTTCCTGAAGGAGAAAGTAAGTCAAGAAAACAGCATTTAGGATTTTAAAAAATGTTTGTAAAAGTCTACAAATATGTTTTTAAAATATTACCTGGAAATATTTGTTAAAAACATAGATTCCCAGGTCTTGCATGCAGAGATTTTGATTCAGTAGTGTTATAATTATACATCACTTCAGTATAAATAACTTTTGTTCATATAATCTAATGCCTAATAGGAATGCTTGATAGTGTCCTAATCAGGACCTGCCCTCTTCAGAGGTGGCTACTTAGTTATTTGTAGTGAAATCAACACCTGAAGTTTTGTTATTTACTATAAAAGATGTTAGAAAGAATTTCGTACAATTAGTGGTATCAAGAGTACCTGAGAAGTAACTGAGAAGCAAAAATTTTCTGGACCCAGAAAATGTCTTGTATGAACATAGGAGTGGAGAAGCCCAGCACTCAAATGCCACTGATGGAGTATGTGAGGTCTAAGCCCCACTGAACCCAGCTCCCTGACCCAAAAGAGGTCTTGATGTCACTGACGTCTGTTTGGAGTGAGCTTTTCATGCAAGGTGCTCGTTGGTGAGCCTCACTTGCAGCCAGCCCACCTGAAACAACAGGCAAGTCATATGACTATTTTCTGGCTATTTGCTTATAACACATGTACACTTGGGAAATTTGATTGTTGAAGACTTGCTTTCACTGAAATGTACCTCTTGGTAATTAGATTGTGGGGGTGGAGTCATCTAACTCCCAGATACCTCTAACAAAGCTACCAATACTTACTAAAAGAGCTTATTTGTTGATCGTCTAAACTGGCCAAGGCCATTCACAAAAATAAAGGATTGGTTGAGACACACACATTGTATTTTAATATCACTTCAGGTGACTTTGAAGCAGGTGATTTACAAACCACACATTGGGAACCCACTGGATTAAGAAAAGACATGTCAATACACATGTATTTTAGAAATCTAGTCTTTGATAAAAGGATTTGAGAGCTAACAAAGCTGATTTCAGGAGTAAGAAGACATTTTTTTTTAATCTTAAAAAGATTTTAGGTAGCTAGAACCCCCAAACAGATGCATGAAGGATGTTACAACAAAGTAACTAATAGAACTGACCTTCACTTCACTTAATATTTACATTGAGAACTTATCTTTTTTCATATTTACATGTAGGATTTAGTCTAATATACAGCAAACAGGTATCTATGAAGCAAGTGCTTGAATTTTAGGCCACTTGCAATATTTGAACTATTTTGTTTTATATTATCATCTATTTGCCTGAGAGTTAAAATCAAATTCTTTTTTTTTTTTTTTTTTTTGAAGCTTACGTTGATCATTTATATTAGTGCAGAATTTTCTTATTTATTTATTTAGAGATGGAGTTTCACTCTTGTTGCCCAGGCTGGAGTGCAGCGTCACAGTCTTGGCTCACTGCAACCTCTGGCTCCTGGGTTCAAGCGATTTTCCTACCTCAGCCTCCCAGGTAGCTGGGATTACAGGTGCCCACCACTACACCTGGCTAATTTTTTGTATTTTCAGTAGAGACGGGGTTTCATCATGTTGGCCAGGCTGGTCTCAAATTCCTGACCTCAGGTGATCCACCTGCTTCAGCTTCCCAAGGTGCTGGGATTACAGGCACAAGCCACCATGTCTGGCAGAAGTTTATGATTTACAAATCATTAATGCATGTTATTTTCTTTTTAGGTGGAAAATGTTACTTAATAGTGTCATCATCTGTTCTATAAAGACTCATTTGTTTCCCAAACAGTTATAGAAGATAAGATACAATAGTATATTTTCAATTTTAAGAACAAATTTGGGGATAGTACTATTAACCTGCCCAAGTTATCCTTCATGCAGTAGAAGAGATTCCTAATTATTAGCATAAAAGTTCACAAGACATTCTCTGAATGTGTGTCTTTCTAGCCAGTAATTTCAATAAGCATGACAGTCAATGAGATATACTTAAAACTTAATATTTTCAAAAGCATGAAATTGTAAGACATTGTGAATGCCTCTATGCATGTATTAAAATGCTTACATATAAAGAGTTGACTTGGTTGTTAAAAAACACTCATTAGCAGATTAACAACTGCCTTAAAAATAAAATGTTCTAAGACAGGAAATAAAAGGTTGAAACTTTTCTTTAGTTACAGTAATAAAAGTCATAAGAGTGATGGATTTTTGAAATTTGTATGTCAAAAGTTCAAACTATATTTGAAGAGTTAGATTTTGACACTTACAAAGTGTCAAAAACTTGACACTTACAAAGATCAGTGTTCTCATTCTCCCAGTAATGACTGACAGACACAGACGGGTCACTTCATTCCTCCCATTAATAGAACTGAGAGGGGAAAGGCTTTTTCCTTAATCCAAAAACAAGCATGAGTATAGCAAAGCTCATTCACATGCCCAAATATCAATGTACCACAGAACCTGAGTTCAGATCAGTGCACTTGGGTAAGCATAGTCCCTGATAAATATTCTGTTCTTCTATATCTTTAAAAATATACAATAGTTTAAATTTAAAATGACCATTTAATTATCCTCTCTATAAGTGTTTATTGAGTACCACTGTTTTCCAGGCATGTTATAGGTGAAGAGAACATGGTGGTGAAAAAAAATTATCAAGGTTTTATCATATCATAGAGATGCCACTTTAGAGATGATTATAGACATTAAGTAAATTAATTTCATAATACAAGCAAGATAATTTCAAGATGCGACAAATGCTACGAAAGAATAAGACAGAATGATATAATGGAGTGACTGGGAAAAGGGGGACATGTGAATTTGGAGTTCAGGAAAGTCATATCTAAGCAGGAGATATTTGAGGCCGTACAAAGGTCTGGGTACAGAGCAACCCAGACAGTAGGACAGCAAGCACAAAGGTCCTAAAATGGAAACAAGCTCGGTATGGATGGAGACAAATACAAACACTGGAAGGAATAAAGTTACCAACACAGCTTTGTTACTGGTGATGAGAAAGCCCAACTGAGAGAAAATGATAACTGTGAAATCCAGATAACCCATCCTGCCACTTCAGTTGATTAATCAGAATGTCTAGTTGTCTCAATGCAGGAATGTCCGGGCTAATATCACCATTTTCCATGACCCACTTCTCCACTGGAAATAAGATTTATCTTGCCACCCCAAATGATACCATTTCTGGAGGGGCAGGGAATTTAGGAAGCAATGTGAAAGTCAGGCCTAATTTAATAGTCAACAATGACATTTATTTTCACAATATATATTTCCTCATTTTAGGGAAAATATGAATCCCAGGAAAGCCACTTATTGTTGTGGAACTCTAAGCATTGTAGAACAGCTATGGCTTTTTGGAATTTGGTCCTGCCAAGGTGTGGATTTTTCCTTTCAGTGGCATTTAGTAGATCTCACCCATAACTAGGCATAGATGACACTTTTTTTCACTTTTTGTTCCTTTTATACCAGAGAGTTATTTTCTAAGTACAAATTTAAATTTGAAACTCACCATAATTTATTTGCTTCCAGAAGAGTTCATGTTTTTAATTTTATTTCAAATAAAAATTAGATGAAAAGTATCAAAGGAACTAGAAGAATAAAAGTTAAAATAAGAACTACTAAGGCTCTTAAATATAATTTAAAAGTATATATATATATATATATTTATTTTTAGTTTAGAAAAGCAGAGGCTGTGTAGATTAAACTCCTTCTCGGTAGGCAAAAGTAGCCCAAAGATCATCCTGGAAAAGTATACTGGGAGGAGACTGTTGGTGAAAGTGAAGTGAATACAAAATTAAACATCTTGAATTTGGCATAGATTCAGCTGGGAGAAGCAAAAATTTGTAAGCAGAGAAAGAGGGATAAAGGTAAGTGGGAAGGGTGTTTGGACTCATAAAGGCTCGTTAAACTTTATATCCTTTCTCTATATAATTTTCTGCCTGAGGCAGTACACTAGCACACCCTGGGTACATTATAAAATAAAAGGTGATAATAGTTAGGGTCCAGTGTCATTCTGCACCTAAAACTTTAAATAAATTACCATTCCATATGGATGTTAAAGCATTCATGTAACAAATCATCACATAATCATATACTGAAAGGGGGTTGCCGGTTTTCAAATTTGTTGATTAATAAAGCAGTTCAAGCTAAAGTTACTTTTCACAAAGTATACAATATTAGGAGGCAAATTACCTGGCAAAGGGTAGCCTGCTCCTGTCACTCCATGAGCTTCCAGAGTGAAGTGAGCCCAAGGATGAAGCCTGACTCTTGGTCATCTTGAGCCAAACCAAGCTACATCACCTAATCCAATCCTCCAGAAAACAGAATCAACTAGAGGTCAGTGGACAATTGTTGACAGTGGAAGGTTGAGAAAATGTATTAGCTTTGGAATTAGACAGATCTAGGTTTAAACCCTAGGCTTATGGGATATAAACAGCCACTTGCAAGTTTTGTAACCCTGAGGAGGTGTTTTCACCTCTGTAAGCCACAATTTTTTTTTAATATAAAACACAATTATTTATTTATTTATTTATTTATTCCAGAAACAGGGTATCACTATGTTGCCCAGGCTGATCTGGAACTCGTAGGCTCAAGAGATCCTCCCATTTCAGCCGAAAACACAGATTTTAATGCCCAATTTTGTTATAATAAGAATTAAATAAGTTGATGCACGTCAAGTTTTTAGCACAGCAGTTGATCCCTATTGGGCCTTCAATAAACAGTACTTTGAAAAAAAAATAATTCCCTTTTAAACAATATCTTCTTATGCTTACTGAAGCCATAGAATGGGAGCTTGCGTCTCTTCCCACTCTGTGGATGTTCATGACCACATCCCACTCTGCCTATAAGACAATGCACCATCATTAACTGCAAAGGAGCAAACAACGTGTCTCCAGTCAGCCTTGGTGAAAATTGTCCTGATCCTTCTCTTCTTTCAAGGGTTGCAGCAGCTCCTTACAGTGTGAAACGAGGAATGACTATCATGGCATGAAAAAAGCATCACTATGGAAGCTTATTTTTCTTTTTTTTTTGAGACGGAGTCTCGCTCTGTCGCCCAGGCTGGAGTGCAGTGGCCGGATCTCGGCTCACTGCAAGCTCCGCCTCCCGGGTTCCGGCCATTCTCCTGCCTCAGCCTCCTGAGTAGCTGGGACTACAGGTACCCGCCACCTCGCCCGGCTAGTTTTTTGTATTTTTTTTAGTAGAGACCGGGTTTCACCGTGTTAGCCAGGATGGTCTCGATCTCCTGACCTCGTGATCCGCCCGTCTCAGCCTCCCAAAGTGCTGGGATTACAGGCTTGAGCCACCGCGCCCGGCGGAAGCTTATTTTTCTGGTTGTCTTCTCTTTAAGCATGTTTAGAGCTTTGAATATGTAGAACTGGTCAGAGTCTGGCACATTCTAATCAGTTTTCTTTGCCTTCCTGAAAAGTCCTGTGTAGCTTCTCATCATTGAGTGGGCATCAGTTTTCATCTTGGTCCAGGTTTAACTTGGACTTAAGAGTATTGTGAGCATAGGAGGGGAATTAATTGTGGCATTTGGTGAAGGTAAGTGAAGAAGGCAACTGGATTAGGAGGCTGAAGTCTTGGCTTCTTGGCTTGTTGCTAGTTATGGCAAAGTACCTCAACATCTCTCAATTACAAAATGCTAATTCTTACTATATAGGATTTGTATGTATGTGTGATGGTGAAATAAAATAATAAGAAAGGAGTTTATAAATTATATAGAACTATTACAAAGGAAGACTTTCATTCTAGTAGACCTATTTGATGTATCAAATAAATATTGGGCCATATTTAACTTTAATATTAATAAAATCTTCTCCATTTATGAATTCCAATATTGCTCCAAAAAGGACTTTATTCTTACCCTGTACATCTGTAAAATGTACCATTATAAATAACATATATTACAAATGATTAGTAATTTAATTATCTGATTTTAAATTAACATTATGATACTAGTTCAGACCAGCCTGTAAACACACAAATTATTCTCCTGATAAATTACTTTTGCTTATATTGCTTAAGTAACTAACAAAGGTAGAGTTGGAAATCTTAAGTGTACAAAATATTTTCCATTTAGAAAATCTAAAGAATTATATGTGATAATATTAAGCCATATCTTCTACTAACATGAGTGAAACAGGACTTGGCTTTATAAAATCTAGGATTTGATCATTCTCTTTTACAATATAAGAAAATAAAGCAATTGAAACTAACATAGCCCTTGTAGAATTTTTTACAACACTTTTTTTAGATATGTGTACTTCCTGATAAGCAGAGATGATGAAATAATGGCCTATTAAGGGCAAACAAGTTTCTATAAAAATGCCCAAGCAGGGATTTAAGGCATCTCCTGGACGCACAGTTGCAGTTAGTTATTCCAGGTATTATTTTTGTTTTCAGAAAAAGAAAATTCAGTAGAAGACAATGGCAAGTTCAGACTGGGGATATGATGACAAAAATGGTAAGAGTTCTCCTGTTTATATAGATCAAAATGATAGCTTCTTTCCATTTCCAACAGAAGAGATATTAAGCATTTAAAATAACGGTACAGCCATAGGTTAATTGTTGAACTGGCTGCTTTAAATAATTATACTATCTTTGCATGTGTTCTTAGCATTGTCTTTTGGGGCATGACTGACTACAAAATATGTTTGATATATGTACAGACATACCTCAGAGATACTGCAGGTTCAGGTTCAGACCCCTATCATTAAGCAAATATCACAAGAAAGCAAGTCATATAAAATTTGGAGTTTTCCAGGGCATTTAAAAGTTATGTTTACACTATGCTGTTGTCTATTATGTGCAATAGCATTATGTCTAAAAAATATACCTACCTTAATTAAAAATACTTTATTGCTACAATATGCTAGTGATCATCTGAGCCTTCAGAAGTACTAATTTTTTTTTTCTTTAAGTCAGAGTCTCACTCTGTCGCCCAGGCTAGAGTGCAATGGCACGATCTAGGCTCACTGCAACCTCTGCCTCCCAGGTTCAAGTGATTCTCCTGCCTCAGCCTCCTGAGTAGCTGAGACTACAGGTGCCCACCACCACACCTAGCTAGTTTTTTTGTATTTTTAGTAGAGATGGGGTTCCACCGTGTTAGCCAGGATGGTCTCGATCCCCTGACCTCATAATCCACCCTCCTTGGCCTCCCAAAGTGCTGGGATTACAAGTGTGAGCCACCACGCCTAGCCAAGTATTAATCTTTTTGATGGAGAGGGTCTTGCCTCAATGTGGATGACTGCTGACTGATCAGGTGGTGGTTGCTGAAGGTTGGGAAGGCTCCAAGTTATCCATGACTTTGGAATCAACTTCTTCCAAACTCCTATTAATGTTGATAACTTGACCTTCTCCCATGAATTATGAATGTTCATGCAGAATGGTGAATCCTTTCTAGACAACTTCAATTTCCTTTACTCAGATCCATCATAAAAAAATTATTATCTATGGGAACTACAGGCTTACAAAATGTATTCTTAAATAAGATTTGAAAGTTGAAATTTTTCCTTGATCCATAGACTGCAGAATAGATGCTGTGTTAGTAGGCATGAACATAACATCAATCTCCTTGTACATCTCCATCAGAGCTCCTGGGTGACCAGGTGCATTGCCAATGAGCAGTGATATTTTGAAAGGAATCTTCTTTTACAGAGGAGTAGAGCTCAACAGTGGGCTTCAAAATATTCAGTAAACCAGGCTGTAAACAGATGTGCTGTCATTCAGGCTTTGTTGTTCCTTTTAGAGAACACAGGCAGAGTAGATTGAGCATAATTCTTAACGGTCCTAGGATTTTCAGAATACTAAATGAGTGTTGGCTTCAACTTAAAGTCAACAACTGCATTTGACCCTAACAAAAGAGTCAGGCTGTTTTTTAAAACTTTGAAACCATGCATTGACTTCTCCTCTCTCGCTATGAAAGTCTTAGATGTTATCTTCTTCCAATAGAAGGCTGTTTTGTCTACTCTGAAAATCTGTTCTTTAGTGTAGTCACTTTCATTGGTTATCTTAGCTAGATCTTCTGCATAACTGTCTGCAGCTTCTGTATCAGCACTTGCCAGTTCACCTCGCACTTTCATGTCATGGAGATGGCATCTTTCTTTAAATCTCATAAACCAACCTCCACTAGCTTCTAACTTTTCTTCTGCAGCTTTTTTGCCTTTTTCAGCCTTCACAGAATTAAAGAGAGCTGTAAGCTTGTGTAATTAGGATTTGGCTTAAGGGAATGTGGTTGTTGGTTTGATCTTCTATCCAGACTACTCAAACTTTCTCCATATCAGCAATAATGCTTCTTTGCTTTCTTATCATTTGTGTGTGCACTGGTGTAGCATGTTTAATTTTCTCTAGGAACTTTTCTTTTGCATTCACAACTTGGCTAACTGGTACAAAAAGTCTACTTTTTGGCTGGTCTCAACTCTTGACATGCCTTCCTCACTGGGCTTAATCATTTCTAGCTTTTGATTCAAAGTGAGAAACATGTGACTCTTCCTCTTACTAGAATACTTACAGGTCATTGTAGGGTTATTAATCAGATTAATTTCAATATTGTTGTCTCAGGGAATAGGAAGACTTATAGAGAGGGAGAGAGATGGGGAACAGCCAGTCAATAAAGTAGTTAAAACACACACAATATTTACAGGCTAAGTTCATCATCTTACTTGGACATGGTTTATGGTGCCACAACACTATTACAATAGTAACATCAAAGATCACAATGATAGATATATGAACAATTAAAAAGTTTAAAATATTGTGAGAATGACCAAAATGTGACACAGAGACGTGAAGTAAACACATGCTGTTGAAAATATGCCCCTAATAAGCTTACTTGATGCAAGATTGCTACAAATCTTCAGTTTGTAAAAAATGCAATATCTGCAAAGCACAATAAAGTGAAATTCAATAAAATGAGGTATGCTTGTATTAGAAATCTATTGCTGATAATAAAATATGTATAATCTAATCCTGTATACTATGAGTATAGATCTATATTAGTAGTATTGACAAATACATTATTTTATAGTATAATATAGAAAAGAGACCAGGGCAGTGGCTCATGCCTGTAATCCCAGCACTTTGGGAGACAGAGGCGGGTGGATCACTTGAGGTCAGGAGTTCGAGACCAGCCTGGACAACATGCTGAAACCCCATCTCTACTAAAAATACAAAAAAAATTGGCCAGGTGTAGTGGCACATGCCTGTAATCCCAGACACTCAAGAAGCTGAGGCATGAGAATTGCTCGAGCTTGGGACACAGAGGTTACAGTGAGCCGAGAGCACATCACTGCACTGCAGCCTGGGTGACAGAGCAAGACTCTGTCAAAAAAAAGAAAGAAAGAAAAGGGACATTTTCAAACACAGAATTTTTATTAATCTTAACAGAATATCATTTAATACACTTAAACCCTAATCTAGTAAGCAAACAGGTAACTACACTCCTAAAACTTGGAATCAAGCATTTGATAAAGTATTGATTTTACACATGTGTTTGTCCTTGTAGGTCCTGAACAATGGAGCAAGCTATATCCCATTGCCAATGGAAATAACCAGTCCCCTGTTGATATTAAAACCAGTGAAGCCAAACATGACACCTCTCTGAAACCTATTAGCGTCTCCTACAACCCAGCCACAGCCAAAGAAATTATCAATGTGGGACATTCCTTCCATGTAAATTTTGAGGACAACGATAACCGATCAGGTGAGCTGAAAGACCCTGCTGATATTTTTTTTCTTACAGTCTACTGGGGTAGTTTAAAAAATAGTACTTGAGAAACATGACACCCATTCTAAGTCTTTTGTGCTTGTGTGTAGCGTTGCTGTAATCTAGTGAGGCATCCTGGACTTCTGGAAAATGCCCAGGTGGTAAAGACAATTTTTGAAATTCCCAGCTCTGTATTTTCAGTCTTTCTTCTCAAAGTCACCATCACATCTCTTCTGGTCATTCTGGTATCTGTGTGCTCACTTCACTCTCTCTGAATAAACAGTATTTATCCAGAAAGGTCTAGTGAACCAGTCATTACAAATATAACAACTGAAAAGAAAAATATTTTCTAATTGGGATGAAGATGAATGAGCACAGTAGAAAAGAAAAACAAAGCAGTGACTGAATTATCCTTATACTCCAGAATCTGGAACAAATTTTGCTACAGAGTTAGCTTTTCATGAAGGTTTATTGAATATTTTATTAAATGACAATTCCATAAAACAGTTCTACTGATTTAAAATGCTAAACTTGTTTGCGAGCTTCTGAAGCCTAAATTTTAAGTACCTTGGGGCTATGTCCATTATTAATATTAGATTAGGTCTGGTATGATGTGCATTTAGCTAATATTATCATTCGATAGGCTCTCCAAACAAAGTTTTAAGAGTGTCCCACTGCCCCACTGGTACTCTCTCTTGGTCCTTGGCCAGGGATTCTCAACAAAGCTGTCAAGATACACTGTTGTGTCTTCATCAGTTGCAGAGTAGGTGATGAATGGTTCGTTACTCAAAATAAACTACTAAAGATTTTTGATGCATATTGTCTATGTTGAAAGAATGAAAGAATAAACTTGCAAATAAAAGGAGATTCAAGGACAGCCCTGTAATGATATAATTCACTCACCTTGCAATATGCCTTCTAGGAGTTGGAAATAGGTAAAATTATAGCTCTTGTGCTGGGAAATGTATATAACTCATGGAATATCTCATCAATGCCACAGTCAGGTGTGTACCATACATATGACTGTCATCCTCATAGATGTGGGGTAAAACAAGATGAAAGTTTAGGCACTAATGTTTGTTTTCACTTCTAGTCAACACAATTTAGTGTTGGTTTGTATTAAATGCAAAAATAAGCTAGAGTTTGCAGAGTATCAGACTAACAATCGGTTCCCTTTTCTTCCAGTGCTGAAAGGTGGTCCTTTCTCCGACAGCTATAGGCTCTTTCAGTTCCATTTTCACTGGGGCAGTTCAAATGAGTATGGTTCTGAACATACAGTGGATGGAGTGAAATATTCTAGCGAGGTAATGTAATTTAGTAAGTGAAAGATAATTACCTTGAGAGTACTCCCAGAAGCAGTTTCTCCCTTCTCTCCTAAAACAACATCATAACGACTCCAAAGGAATGAGTGTTCCACTAATGAACTCCCAGGTTCCATTAAAATCAAGCACAGACACATAACGTTTGGCAAGAGAGTGAAATGTTTCATGTGGAAAGAGGCAGCTAAACTCCTGAGCCCAAGATTCACCTTTCCCTGAGAATGCCTCAAAAACTGTTACCTTGATATCATGGCTAGCTTCAAAGGGTGACACTGCTCTCCTTTAAAGCTCTAACCTCAAATGGAACACACAACCATTTCCTCTTTATTTAAATGTTCAAGTTTGGACACACCAGCAGTATGGTTGTGACCAAGCTGGGACAATTCAATGAGACTCTACTATCAGCTCGAATTTAACCATAGCAATGGTCACAGAGAACAGCATACACCTAGATGAGGGTCTGAGCTTCCCTGGCTCTTAAACTGCTCTCACATGGAATTTGTGACTTATTTCAGGACATTATTATCTGTATATCCAAAGAAAAATTGGAGACATGTACACCAAACTGTCAACAGAGGGTCTGGGAGATTAAAATGGGAGAAATTTTGCTCTTTACTTTAGATGTGTGAATTATATAATACATGTGTACCCATACACGCAGGTTGACTTTTTAATTTTGCTTTCATCAAAGTGAATTCTATAATATACATAATTTTGCAACCTGCTTTTTTCTATTTACCCATTTATCACGATAATTTTTAAAAATCAAAAGACTGAATTTCGCCTCATTTTTTACTTTCTGTATAGTATTTCATTTGGGTGAATACATCATAATTTATTTAACTGCCTTCTATTGATGAACAATCACAACATATGATTTTTGTTTAATTGGTTTCTTTTCCTTTTATTAAAAAATGCTTCAGTAAATATATCTGTACATATATATTGTGCACTAATGAAAGTAATTATGTAGGATAGATTTTTACAGGGCAGATTGCCAAGTTACAAAGTATATGTATCTTTTATTCTGATAGAATATCAGTGATTGTACACAAATAAAACTTGCTTTACCTTGTGTTGTAAAGCACGACTAACACCTTTCAATGCTGTGAGAATCTGTTAATTGGATTTTCCCCTCCATAAAATTGAAGATAGATTAAAATTAAATGGACTAACAGCCTAAATTAGTATTATCTTTTTGGAAAGACAGTTGGTAGTATCCAAGAAAACTAAATTAGTGACTCTCTCACCTAAATTGAGAAAAATCAATATAACCCATGCTAGATATGAGAGACACTTAGCCACAAAGTTTAGCATGTGATTAAATTCAATTCAATAAACCTTCTTGGGATAGCTATAAGACACTAGATTTGAGAGGCAGGGCAGCCTGTTGCCTAAGAATGCAAGTACCCAGCTGACTGCCAGGGTTTGAATCAAAGCTCGACCACTTACGAGCTGTACAACTTCGAACGAATCACTCTATGCTCCAATATTCCTATATAGCGAATCTAGATAATATAACATTAGTATCCATCTCAATGATTGTTAACAGCATGAAAAGAGTAAACCCATACGGAGCACACTTAGACCAGCACCTTTCATGTTGCATGTGCTGAATAATGTTACTTAACATTTCCATAGAGACACAAGCAAGCCCTTTTCAAGCAGGGAAGTGTAGGCATAAATTATTGTGATTAAATAAATATAGTAGTAAATGGCAGTATGACTATTCACAAAGAAGCACAGGAATACAGATGTAAGAATAATTAATTACAAGTAGGGACAGAATCTAGACTGGCATGGTCAGAGGAAATTGCAATAAGTGATCTCCTGAATATACTGTCTTAATAATTCTTTTTTCATTCAACAAATATTCATTGAACACCTACAATATGCCAGACACTCTCTTTATTTATTTTTGGTTTGTATTTATTTATTTATTTTTGAGAAAGAGTCTTGCTCTCTCACCCAGGCTGGAGTCCAGAGGTGCGATCTCGGCTCACTGCAACCTCCTTCTCTCAGGTTCAAGTGATTCTCCTGTCTCGGCCTCCTGAGTAGCTGGGATTACAAGCATGCGCCACCATACCCGGCTAATTTTGTATTTTTAGTAGAAACGGAGTTTCACCACGTTGGTCAGGCTGATCTCAAACTCCTGACTTCGTGATCCGCCCTCCTCGGCCTCCCAAAGTGCTGAAATTACAGGCGTGAGATACTGTTTTTAAAAAGTACTTGTGATCAGAACTCGCATTTGATAGGGAAAATAAAAATTTCAGAGGAAGGAAGGGAAGAAGGAAGGGAGGGAGGGAGGGAAGAGAATAGGAAGAAGAGAGATTAAATAAGCGATATGGATAGAATTGTTTTGATTTGTGGTGGTTACTTGATGTTGGATGATCAGAAAAGAATTGTTTAAGGAGTGGCATTTGAGTTCAACCCTAACTGAAGACAAAAGTCTGCCACTTGAAGATCATGGGGAAGGAAATTCCAGAGAATATTAGAAGCTAATGCAAAGACTCAAAGTTGTGATGAAGTATAATCTGTAAGATGTGAATGTTGATCGGTGGGGAAAGTAAGAAATGAATGATAATTGTTGTACTTATTGATTCAGCAATTAAAAAACCTTATCCTAAGAAGGTAAATTTAAGCAGGTTTGGCAAGAAGGAAATCTAGAGTTCTATTTTGGCCAGATTAAGTTTGAAACATCTATTAGACATCCATGTAGAGATATCAAGAATACATATGTACATACTTGGATATACAAATCTAGAGTTTGCAGAAACATTAAACTGGAGATATTTGAGAGGCGTCTCAAAAGGGCACTAATGTGCTTGAAAGAATCCGTTCTTGGCCGAGACTCCCAGATACTCCAGGAACCCTTTCTCACGAATTTACTACAAAGTACCTCATGTGAGAGAAAATTACTTCAATCATTTTCCCAAAAACTAGTTAGTCATGTTTCCTGATCCTTTCATAACAAAGAGAGATACATTTAAAGGAGTAATATTAAATAACAATATTGTAGGAAAGGACATTTTGCTTACTGGTTCCAGGTTTTGCAATCTCTACTTGGCACACAGATAACCCTTCCTAAGAGTAACATGGTAACTCCTCTAATCCACTGGATAAAGGTTCACATAAGTTTTATGTATCTAAGCCAAGATACATCATCATATGGTAACAAGTTAACTTATAACGTACCTTTTGTCATCATACTGGTATAAATAATTAATTAACCAGAGTATCATTTTTAGCTTCATATAGTTCACTGGAATTCTGCAAAATACTCCAGCTTTGCCGAAGCTGTCTCAAAGGCTGATGGTTTGGCAGTTATTGGTGTTTTGATGAAGGTGAGTTACAGGTAGTTAAGTTACACAGCTCTGCTTCCAATTAGACCTCAAAATAGAAGGAAATAAGGCAACATATATTTTAGAATTTCTTATTTTAAAGTTCCCATTCAACCGATGACTACAGGTGAAAAAAATAGTTCCCTAGTATTTTATTGCTTGGTTTTATCTCTGCTTTTCCCTCTGAGAGAAATGAGTTTCAGGTGCAGGTGAGATAGAAAGGTGTTCATAGGGAAAAAGGAATTTCTATTTTCCAGCTCTTCCAAATTCCCCTTCCTCTAAACTTCCTACCTCATAGGCTCTGAAATTTATTAATTTAATATTTCATCAGGAAAGAAATATTATTAAATATTAATAAGGAAACCTGAAACCATAGATTCAGAAATTTATCAATTTAAAATCTCATTAGGAAAGAAATAAAGAGAATTTTTTCTTACAAAAAACATTCAGTTGATTTTTTTAAATGGGAGATGTTGCTCAAATACTCTATAGAAGAATCCCTGAAAAGTTCCACAAAAAAGTTATTATTAAATTGGGTATGCCTGGGTAACTAAGTAACTCTGGAAATTATAGCATCTCTACTTAACCTTTACTGAGCACTTACAATATGCCAAAAACTGTAGTAATGATAAGTAACATAACAGACCAAAATGAGAGATTTGTTTTCATGTCAGTTTTGATAAATTTCTAGATTTTGCCCTGTAAAACTTTGAACATATTGCCAACAATCAAGTTTAATCAAGTTTTTTGTTTGCTACTTTATCTGTAGGTACATATTATAAACAATTTATAGAGTACAAAGGCTCTCAAAGACATACAGCTTGAAAAACTTCTCCTTCTAAAGCAGAGAGAAAATACCTTATCTCTCGTCAGTTGCTAATTGAAAAAAAAATTAAAGCTTAGCTAAGCAGTGTTTGATTGACAATAATCTTTATCTCATACTTTATTTTCTTAAATCTCCAGCTTGGTGAGGCCAACCCAAAGCTGCAGAAAGTACTTGATGCCCTCCATGCAATTAAAACCAAGGTAAATACACTAAATAAGTAGTTTAAATCAGAGAACAAGAATTTACAAATCTATGGAAATCATTTAATGAAGTATTAAAACCGGGAAGTAGGAAGGCGATAGCAAAAGCTACCAACTAAAATCAAGGTGCTACTTCAACATTGCCTACCTCTGAGAAAGTCTCTAATGCAGGAGATTGTTTTGGTTTTTTGTTTTTCATAGTTATGGTTTATTTATTTCAGCAGAATATGGCCTGTAGAAAAGCAGATTACATAGCCATTTAAATTTGCTTGAAAAACTGTATCTAACAAAATTGTGATTTTCCATTTGATAAATAAAGATATCTCTAGTTTTTTAGCAGTACAAATATTCAGAAGTAAAGGGCATTCTTTTGAGATACGATTGATATACAATTTTTGATAACCATAACTCTCATTAGTCAACTCAAAAAATGGATTTTTTGATATACACAAACTTAGCTTTATTGTTTTAATAGTAAGTAGTTAAAACATAAATCAGAGATTTGTCATTTTTTGCAGCATGGAGAACTGTCATATTTTTGTGTAAAATAAATATGACTTATGCTGATTCTAGAAAAGATTAAACTTAAGTGAGTGTCTTATAAAGTATAAATGACAGAAGATAAAAAATAAGCCCTCAACTCAAGAGTTATCGAAAAAATATGAAAAGAAAATAGAAGGAAATAATTAGTGAAGATAAAAGCAGAAAAGAATAAAATAAGAAAGAAAATTTATGGCCGGGTGTGGTGGCTCATGCCTGCAATCCCTGCACTTTGGGAGGCCGAGGCGGGCAGATTGCCTGAGGTTTCAGGATTGAGATTGCAGGAGTTCAAGACCAGCCTGACCAACATAGTGAAATTCCATCTATACCAAAAATACAAAAAATTAGCCAGGCATGGTGGTGCACGCATGTAGTCCTAGCTACTCAGGAGGTTGAGGCGGGAGAATCGCTTGAACCTGGGAGGTGGAGGCTGCAGTGAGCCGAGATTGTGCCACTGCACTCTAGCCTGGGTAACAGAGCAAGACTCTATCTTAAATAAATAAATTTTAAAAAGAAAAATGATGACTAAGTAAAGGGTAAAATTTCATCAATAAATTGAAAAGTTGATTCTTTCGAAGAACAACAAAAAAGTCAGAATATGGGGAAGCTGGATAAAGAGAAAAAAAGCCATACATATAAAACTTTATTAGAAATAAATGGGTTATGGCTAAAGATACAGAAGAAAATTTTAAGAGACAAAATTTTTTATAACATTATGCCAATAAATTTGAAAATTTAGATAAAATGGATAATTTTCCAAGAAAATGTGAAGTAAGGGAATTGACTCACAAGGAGTTAGAATACCTAAATAGACTGAGAACCTAAAAGTAAATGTAAACAATAGTCAAAATGTATCTATTAAACGGAAAGACTAGGCCCAGACCATTTCATGGAAAAGGGTTACTTAACTTTTAAGAAACAATCATGCCAGTGTTAACTAACCTGCCCAGATGAAGGAACAGACAGAAAACTTCCTATCAATTTAATGGAATCGATACCAAAACCGGGTATGAAAACTACAAAACACACAAAACAGAAAACATAGCATAAACTTTCTTAGGAATATAGCTAAAGGAAATCCTAACACTTATTATAACAAATCAAATTCAACAGTGTATTAAAAGAGTAGTTTCTGAATTAGTAGCGTATATCCCAAAAATACAAGAATGACTCAATATTAGAAAATCTTAAATTAATTCATTATATTAACTAAAGAAGAAGAAAACCTCATGATCAACTTGTTAAATGCTTAAAAATCATTTTATAAAAGTTAATGCCCTTTCTTTAGGATGAAACAAAATGAAAGAAAACTGCCTGAAAACTTCTTGAATTTGATAAAGAATTTTACCTAGAAACTTGTATCAACATTTAACTTCATAGTGAAACACTTGAAGCATTTTCATTTGAATCAGGCACAAGACCAAACTGCCACTGTGACCATCACAATTGAAAATTATAATAAGGGTCCTAATCAGTGCAACGAAATAATGAAAGAGTACATCCTATGACAGATGTTGAAATAGCAAAAGCAAAACTATCATTACGTGCAGTTGATATCATCATTAACATCCACCTGAACACTCCAGAAGAATCATCTAAAATACAGAATGCATAAAAGATTAGCATACAAATGTCAGTACATTTCCTATACACCAGTAATAATCAGAAAAGATGATAGGAATAAATAGAATAAAACTAAAACAACCAATATGCATGTCAATAAAGATCTTTGCCATTGAAATAGAATCTGGCATCATTCCTAGAGAAAAAATAAAAGCGTTATACTAGAAGTTAAATATCTTTTAAAGATACAGATTGTAAAAACGTTTTTTGCATCTTTGCTTATCTGCAACCAAATGAAGAAGGAAGAAGATGTCTTGGTCAAAAACTTACATGTAACACATTTTTCATCTTTTTTCTTCTGTTGATATTATTGTTTATACCCACAAACACACCAGTCAAGAAATACTAAATAGTAGAAAAATCAATGACTCTTAGCTAAAATGTCTACATAATGTGTAACAAGATAATATAGTATATATATATATTCATATAAGTATTTTATATCATGCTGTAATGATGTATTATTTTCTTCCAGGGCAAACGAGCCCCGTTCACAAATTTTGACCCCTCTACTCTCCTTCCTTCATCCCTGGATTTCTGGACCTACTCTGGCTCTCTGACTCATCCTCCTCTTTATGAGAGTATAACCTGGATCATCTGTAAGGAGAGCATCAGTGTCAGCTCAGAGCAGGTAGAGTTGTGAATGAATGGGAACTGGGAATATGTAGCAGGAGTATTACTTTAATTGGTAGTATCAGTGAGAGAGATTATTATTTCAGTCAGCTTTGTGAGAAGTTCATTTTTCCTCCCAACTTAAAAATATTAATTTGGGGACATCGGTTTTTTAAACTATCCAAAACTGCATTATAATACGAATTTTTTTACCTTTATACAGAAAAAAAATGAGTCCCACTACTCTTTCCTCCTTAATAAGGAAATTTCCGACCTGTTAAATATCTTCTTAAGCATTTCAGAAATAAAAGAAAAACTGTGTGGACATTTCAATAAGATTTTGGGGAACTGTGGCTCTCAGCTGGCATACCTTGATAGTTGGCAAAGTATTTTCGTTCCTTTTGTGGAGCTTAAACTTTGAAATATTCAGCAAAATATCTCATTAACTGTTGTGTATAATTGTGATTATAGTAAGTATCATTGGTTGCTCAACCACTTTTATTATGTGCCTTACATATGTTTTGGTAGCCAGTTCTCATAACAAACCTACAGGACAAGCATTGTAGCCTGCTGCTAACTGACATTTGTTGAGCACATGCTGTATGTCAAGCATCATTCTAAGGGCTTTGCATGTATTAACCCGTTTAATCTTCACAACAACGCAGTGAAGTAAGTACTATATGGAAACTAAGGTACCAAGCTAATACATCACTCGCCCAACATACCCCAGCTGAAATTAAAAAGTTGATACTTTAACCCAGTCATCAATAATTAAAGCAAAATGCCTGGTTCAAAGGAATGAATGTAAAGGATTTAGGGCTTTCTCTCTTCCTATTAGTGATATCACTGCAATTTCTAACTCAGTTTTCTAAATATCAGGGCATTAGTAATACTGTAAATAAAACGCTTTATGTATCTTTAAAAACTTTTTATTTTTAAAATATTTTATCCTTCCAGCTGGCACAATTCCGCAGTCTTCTATCAAATGTTGAAGGTGATAACCCTGTCCCCATTCAGCGCAACAACCGCCCAACCCAACCTCTGAAGGGCAGAACAGTGAGAGCTTCATTTTGATGAGTCGGAGAAGAAACTTGTCCTTCCTCAAGAACACAGCCCTGCTTCTGACATAATCCAATAAAACAGTAATTTTTAAGAAACAAATGTATTTCAATATTAGCAAGATAGCATGCCTTCAAATCAACCCATAAAACTAAGAAACTTAAATTTTAATTCTTACTGCTTAATTCAAGTAATAATTAGTAAGCTAGCAAATAGTAATCTGTAAGCATAAGCTTATGCTTAAATTCAAGTTTAGTTTGAGGAATTCTTTAAAATTACAACTGAGTGATTTGTATGTCTATTCTTTTCAGTTTATTTGAACTAATAAAGTTATCTCTTTCTATTGTGCATTCAGTTTCTAAAACCACTAAGTTTCTACTCCATTTACATTCAAAAATCTTACTTTACTTGCAAGAGTATTTTGCCTCAAATGTAACAACCTAAGAGCAACTGAAGATAAAATACTGAGAAATTCATTTGCTTACTCCTGAAGACAAAAATACAGCTGAGATGACAACTGGATTTAATATAGTTATGCTGGCCCAACATTGCTACCATTTGTGTTGTCTGTGATCAAAAAGATTATCTTTTATATAGGAGGATGATGCTACTGGATATTGCTTTCACTTCTTCTCCCCACGTTAGCAAGGACAATGCTTCTCTGCCATTATTACAACTAGTTAGTTTGCATGGAGAATCTTTACTTTAAAATTGGAAGAAAAGCCACAAGTGAGTGGTTTATAAAAATGCTAAAGAAGTCGGCCGGGCACGGTAGCTCACGCCTGTAATCCCAGCACTTTGGGAGGCCGAGGCGGGCGGATCACAAGGTCAGGAGATTGAGATCATCCTGGCTAACACGGTGAAACCCTGTTTCTACTAAACAAAACACAAAAAATTAGCAGGGCGTGTTGGCGGGCCCCTGTAGTCCCAGCTACTCTGGAGGCTGAGGCAGGAGAATGGCCTGAACCCGGGAGGCGGAGCTTGCAATGAGCCGAGATCGCGCCTGGGCAACAGAGCGAGACTCCACCTCAAAAAAAAAAAAAAAAAAAAAAAAAAGCTAAAGAAGTCATTTGTGCTTAGAATCATATAGAAACATCATGCAATCTTTTAATCAGATGTGCACTTCACCTTATGCTGTTTTTATCTTTAATTGACACACAATAATTGTACATATTTATGGAGTACAATGTGGTGTTTTTGTTTGTTTTTTTGAGACAAGGTCTCACTCTGCCAGCCAGGGTGGAGTGTGATGGTGTGATCATAGCTCACTGCAGCCTCAAACCCCTGGGCTCAAGAATCCACCCACCTCAGCCTCTTGAGTAGTTGGGACTACAGATGCATGTCACCATGCCAGCTTAATTTTTTAATTTTTTTTTGTAGAGACATGGTGTCTCTATGTTGCCCAGGCAAGCAGTGTGATATTTTGATTCATGTATACAATGTGTAATGATCAAATCAGGGTAATTAGCATATGCATTACCTTAAACATTTATCATTTCTTTGTGTTGAGAATATTCAAAATCCTTTCCTCTAGCTATTTTTAAATATACAATAAATTATTGTTCATCATAGTCATCCTATTATGCTGTAAAACACTAGAACTTATTCCTCCTATATTGCCGAAGCCATATCTACATCCAGAATTCTACAAATCCTGTGTCCAGTGTTTAATCTTGTTATTTACTTTAGTTATCTCATTTGAAGTAGTAGAGACCAAGCCCAATTGTTCATTTCTGTAAATTTTAGTAAAATTACTTAAAAAACCGTAAGCAGATTCTTCATTGCTCTAAGTAAGCCTTTCTGCAAAGGCTGTGTTTGTTTTAGACCTAAAAACCATACTAAGAGACTTCTTTTGAAATATTTGACTTGGGGCCTAGAATTTAGGTGAATCCTCTTTATTAAAATGTAACTTGTTTTTATTTTATTTTAATCAAAATTGATTTGTTTTTCTACACAAAGTTGGGAAATTTAGAATTTACTAATTGAAAAAAAAATACAAATATAATGGACTCAAATAACACATTAGCTCTGCCCCCATATGCAATCTCTAAATATAAAATACTTTCTTTGCAAAGGAATCCGACTGTGTATGATACTCTATATATGCCAAATATTGAGAAAGCCTGCAACACTTATACCTGGCCTAGGATGTTATTACTTAACATGAGTTGTATTGATAGGATTTTAATTATAAAGTTATCAAAAGCTCTCAAAAGGTGAGTGCTAAAGAGGGATATGAGCTTCAGTTGAGAAATACATTTGCAAAAGATGTTCATTTGAAAACATTTTCTGAAAAGAAATTAAATGATTTAGAAATAAATTTCATAGGAAGGATCTGAAAAACACTTGACTTGATGGTCCATATATTTTTGAAGAAGGTTAAAATGGATTCCAGCATTTAGATATGTCTGTAAGTCTTATTACAGAAAGGGCAAAAATGTGACAAAAAATACATTATGACCATCAAACATTATCCCTAAGGCAAATGCCAACTGGGGAGCATGTTTCCCCCTACTGCCTCTGCCAGAATTTCATATATTTGGCAGAACTCATGAGATGCATTATGAATTTCTCTGAAGTAGCCGATAAAAACAGCTGTTGAGAGAAAGTATGTGAACTAGGCATTGGATCATCTGAGAGTGTAACTCATATGTATCACTGACTCACCCTCCTCTTGTATGTCCTCATCCTTTGTCAACTTACATCAAGAATTTAAACATCCTGCAAGGACTCTCTGGTTTTTCCATGATGTTTAGCAGCTGACTTTCTTTATGCCGCATCTATTGGCATCTAGAATGATAAGCCAGCTGGTGAGGCCCAGCGTGGGCTCAAGGATAAAGAGTGCTTCTACTCCATTCTGTTTTCTGTCTTTTCACTCGCCCTTCAGAAATACCCCGCTGTACACTTATCACTATGGCACCCTTCTGCTGAACTGTGAGTCCAAAATATTTTCTATGTTGTTCATATTTTCTACATTGTTCACTTATGTAAGGTTTAGCAAATGACTCAAAATACATTAAATTCATCATAATAGGAATTAGGGCAAAGGAAATAAAGAAAAAGAAATATCTTCATTAAATTTAATTTCCTTACATGACTCAAAAGAGCAGATATCTATTTATTATAACACTAGGAACTCCCTATCTGTGGTCTTTCTCTGTTTTGTGGTGGCAGATTCCTACCAATATGTGATTAAAGCTATGAAACTTCTTTTCCTTACCAAAAAAAAGTTACATAATCAAATATAGCCAAAATTTTGCAATGAGTCTTAGAATGTTTAGAAACTCAACCTTTTGCTTCCTTTCCCATCACAAAGTCATTCCTGAACCTCAGAAAAAGATCCCTGCTCTAAACTATTTAAAAACTTAAAAATGGACTCCAAGGCTCTCTTGATCTTGCATCCTAGTGTATTATTTATTTTTGCTTTTCTACCTCATTCTTTATAACACGTACCTACAAATGGAATGACAGTATATTTCTGGTATCATTCATGAATTATCTTTTATTTCTTTCTCCCCTAAAAGTATTACTTTGGGTTGATGTAAGGTTTCATTGTAGAAGAGATATAAAAAGATTTTTTTAAAAAAAGAGAACCCAAACCTTAGTGAATTGTTTATTACTGGAAAAGATTACAAATGAGAATAAAAGGGCATAGAAGAGAAACTTTGACTGAGGAAGACACCATCGGATAAATAAAGGTCCAAAATCATTTTAAAAGCCATCAATATTCTCCGCATCCAAGACCATGAAAGCATAAGCTTATTTTATAAGCATTATCTTCTTGATTATCTATAAACCCCAAATGTTTATTTACCAACTGATCTCCATGAGACACTGCACGGATTTTCTTATTACTCTTAATATAGTTACCAATTTTTAATCTCAGTAGATACACAAAGAGATAGGCAGACAGACAGACATAGCTACTGTATAAATGAGTATATCTACTTTGGCAAAATGGAACTATGGATATAGGTATTTAACCAATTAACAAAAGGTAGCTGCTTTTGTGTTCCTAGACTTAAAGCTAAGGAAAAAAATAAAAAGAGTAAAAAATATTTTAATAGAAATACAACATATTTGAAAGAAATGTGGAGAAGTAGCCATAGGATTCTTGTATAAAATCTTGCTTTCAATAAAGAAGTAAGTCATAAGGAGTAACTTAGAGTCTTAAAAATATGTGCACACTCTCACCATGTACCAAAACAGTGAACTGGTGAACAAACGGCTTGTGTTTGAAGACTTTAGAATGCTCCGATCAGAAGTGCACTTACTAGATGTTGCAGGAAGTCAGGAACCCGGAATGGAGGGACCGGCTGGAGCTGCAGCAGAGGAACATAAGTTGTGAAGATTTCATTTTAATATGGACATTTATCAGTTCCCAAATAATACTTTTATAATTTCTTATGCCTGTCTTACATTAATCTCTTAATCCTGTTCTCTTCATAAGCTGAGGATGTACATCACCTCAGGGCCACTGTGATAATTGTGTTAACTGTACAAATTGATTGTAAAACATGTGTGTTTGAACAATATGAAGTCAGTGCACCTTGAAAAAGAACAGAATAACGTGATTTTTAGGGAACAAGGGAAGACAACCATAAGGTCTTACTGCCTGTGGGGATGGGCAAAAAGAGCCACATTTTTCTTCTTGCAGAGAGCCTATAAACAGACGTGCAAGTAGGGAAGATATCACTAAATTCTTTTCCTAGCAAGGAATATTAATATTAATACCCTGGAAAGGAATGCATCCATGGGGGGAGGTCTATAAATGGCCGCTCTGGGAATGTCTGTCTTGTGCAGTTGAGATAAGGAGTGAGATACACTCTGGTCTCCCACAGAACCCTCAGGCTTACTAGGGTGGGGAAAAACTCTGCCCTGGTAAATTTGTGGTCAGACCGGTTCTCTGCTCTTGAACCTTATTTTCTGTTGTTTAAGATGTTTATCAAGACAATACATGCACCACTGAACACAGACCCTTAACAGTAGTTCTGCTTTTGCCCTTTGCCTTGTGATCTTTGTTGGACCCTTATCAGTAGTTCTGCTTTTGCCCTTTGTCTTGTTCCCGCAGAAGCATGTGATCTTTGTTAGACCCTTATTAGTAGTTCTGCTTTTTGCCCTTTGAAGCATGTGATCTTTGTACCTACTGCCTGTTCTTATATCACCTCCCCTTTTGAAATCCTTAATAAAAAACTTGAACTTGAGGCTCAGGTGGGCATCATGGTCCTACTAACATGTGATGTCACCCTCAGTGGCCCAGCTGTAAAATTCCTCTCTTTATACTGTCTCTCTTTATTTCTTAGCCAGCTGACACTTATGGAAAATAGAAAGAACCTACGTT